TGCAGAAGATATGTATTTTTATACACCAATATTAAATAATATTTATTTATCAAATATATTCTGGTAATTAATTGTACCATAACTTCATTAATAATAGTGCTCAGCACTCTGCCTTCAACAGTGGACTTCAACACACTTTAAAGGTAAGGATTTTTTATTATTATTTCATACAAAGTCACTAATCAGGATCAGGGCCCCACTGTGCTAGGTGTTGTAAAAACATAGTAAAGAGACATCCCTTGTCCCAGACAGCTCACAAGCTAAAGGTCTGATTGTCGCCTTCTTACAGGTGGGGAAACTGAGGCACAGAGCAGGGTCGTGACTTGGCCAAGGTCAAACAGTGAGTCTGTGGTGCAGCCAAGAATTGAATCCAACTTTCCTGACTTCCCCTTCAGCAGAGAGGAAGGATGGTCCAGTGGTGAGAGTGCTGACTTGGAAGGAAAGTGTTTGGTTTGTTCCTCTGCATCATACTTTGCATGTGTTATCTTGGGCAGTTACTTAATCCCACTGTGCCATTAGTATCTAGTACTTCCCTACCTCAGAGGGCTGTGGTGAGGTGCTATGTGGTAGACTGCTATGGGGTGCTATGTGTGGACTGCTAGTACCTTATTCAATGCATCCTTGTCTTATTAAGTCAGAAGAGACACACCTAGTCCAGCTTGCTGGTAAAAAGTCACCTCAGAGAAAAAGTTGACTCAGAGAAAACAGCCAGTGGGATTTTTTGCCTGGGCAAACACTGAAGGATTATGTCCCCAGACTGGTGAATTATGAAAAATTATTCATGGAGGTCAACAAGCTCTGCAAAAGATAAAGATCTCACTACATCCTTGTCAGATCTCAACAAACGTTTTCTCAGCGATCAGCGGGCATTCAAGCATGCAACAATTGTCTTATGAAATTTTCATTAAATCCTTATTGGAGATGAATAATTTAATATGAGCCTGTTGCAGCTCAGTCACCTACGCTACATCACTGAGCGGGAAACCAGAGCATGCCATGCAGTGGGCCAGATGCTCAGCTGGTGCAAATCAGCATGCTTCAATTGACTTCAGTGGAACTATGCCAATTAGCACCAGCTGGCAGCCTGGCTCCCAGGTGCATGGGAAAGCCATTGGTTGAGTAGCAGGAGCACTGACAGTTTGCTGTTTACCAAAGAGCTGATCAGACCATCAGTGATTTTGGGGCTATGCAGAGTTTTTCACCCAGGACACAGAACAGTTCAGGTGCAGCCTCAGCTTTTTTACGGGAAAGATTTTTATTTCTCCTCTTTAATTAAATGCTGCTGCTAAGTGTTTGATTGGCAGCCTCTGGCAACTAAGTCGTCCCCATGAGACAGAGACATCATGGGAAGCAACAGAAGCAGCTTCCCCCACACCACTCAACTGGAGTGCCTCACCCTACAGCTGGCCAAATACTCCTTTCTCTTACCCTGGTTAAACTCAATTTATTTAGGGTCCAGATCATCAGCTGGTGTAACTCGGAAGAGGTCACTCCAATGGGGCTATTTTGATTTACACCATCTGGGGATCTGGCCCATTGGCTTCAATGGAGATACTCCTGATTTACACTGGTGTAAGTGAGGGGAGAATCAGGCACAATGTGTAAATATGCCTCTGAAGTCTGAACCGTTGTTCAGTTCAACCATGTTCATAATGCTTTTGATTTGCTTCTTGGAGGTGAAATTGACTGTTCTACAGACAAACACCCCAAGGCCTATGCACTTAAATTACACTTCAGCCCTCAAATCAGGGGATTTAAATGGTGCCGCACTTCTCCACAGGATGAATTTCACAGCTCTTTTTCTCTGTATGAATGTTTGGGGCTAAGGATTTGCATGGAAGCAAAGATATTTGTACATTTGGTATTGTCTACATGCAGTTGTGACACAGATAGGCCCTGATCATCGTCAGCTAGGATTAAACCTGGGACCTCTGGAGCTTAACGCAGAAACCTCTACTGCAGGAGCTGAAAGCCATGTGCCTCTGAGTCAAGGCTGTAGCTGCCTCGTCAATCTCTAGATCGTCTAGGTGCCGTGTCAGGGGACAGAGCACCACATCAAGCAGGCATGGACTGCACAGTTACTATTTTTTCATTCTTCTCTCCCCTATTTAAATAAATTTCAAGTCATTCAATCATGGAGCAGAAACAATGTCACCGAGGCTGCCAATCACACACCGGGATGCAAATGAACAACTTGCAGAAATCCCAAAGACCAAAATGTGGGGGCGTCAAATACTTACAAATAGCAAACAAGGGCCTGATGATGCACAGCACTCAGCAGCCAGAGCTGCAGTGGATGTCAGTAAGCGCTAAGAGCACTTGGCTCTTCTCAGAGAGTGCTCAGCGCCTCACAGGATCAGATCCCAAATTAGTAAGAATCAAAGGGGCTGCCTTTTGGTTACATTGAAGCTTTGTTATGCTACTCTTGCAACCCACAGATCAGTGTGTGTTGGCTGTCATCAGGGACTGAAGAGTCGATGACCACAGAGCTAAAAACATGATCTGCTACTGTTGAGCTAGAGAGCCAGGGCTGTAACATGCTCACATCCTGTGGAAATCAGGCGCAGAGGGGGACACATAATACACACTGGCCAGTGGGTTACACATCAAATTACATAACGGGGGTGGGGGGTGGAGGGTTGGAATCTGGCCCTCAGTCATTAGTGACCTGAGTCTAAGTCAAACTAGTGACCTAGCCCCTCCAATTGCCAAACCCAGAGTCACCCAAGCTGTGATTTTTTACAATGGGAATTGATTGATACCCGAAGGTGCAGAGTGACTTTCCCAAGGTCAGAGACTGAGTTGGTATCTCAGTATTCTCATTTAATCAAAGTCATTAAGTGAAAGAATAAATTCTAACACCCCTTTAATCCTTCTTAACAATAAGAACCACTATTAAATCCTTAATGTGCCTGCTTTAATTATAACCTATCAAACATGGAATCAATCTCAATGGTAAACACCAAATGCAGTATTCCAAGAGTGGATAAGATCATGACTTTTAAAAATGCAAATTGAGACTCAAGCATTAAACCTATAATAACTTCTATTATGCTATCACTTAAAAACAAATACAAAATATTTAATCTTACTCTAATCTCAGAGGTTGATGGAATCAGAGCTGAAGAGAAGGCTTTGGTTTCACATAAACCAGAAGGAGCTAGGAGGCAACTTCTGGTTTCCTGGGAATCATGTAAATTGGGTAGCCGGGTGTGTGGGCAGGGAAGGAGGGTCAATGAACATTTAATGCCAATGTGATTATCATTGGTGAATGAATGGAGACAATATGCAGATATTGGGACAGATTCTCAGTTATGGCAGAGGCCATTTAAACCATCCTGGTCTTGTAAAGTGGGTGAGTAGAAATGGCCCTGTTCCCAGCCCATCAGGGACATGGCAGGGTGTGGCCAGGGTGCACTATGTTACAACTCTTCTCCACTTCTGAGCATAGGTGCTGGAACTAGGGGTACTTGGGGTGCAGCAGCACCCCCAGGCTTGAAGGGGTTTCCATCATATACGGGGTTTACAGTTTGATTCAATGACTCTCAGCACCCCCACTATACAAATTGTTCCAGTACTCCGGCTTCCGAGGGCGTGTAAAGCTCTGAAACCTGCCTGCTTGCTGTGTCAGGAGATGCATTGAAATTGATATGTTTCTGCAAAACATTTAGCTTTTGATGAATCAGCATTTTCCAAGGGAAAAACATTTGGCCAGAAAATCCTGACCAGCTCTAACCGGGAGCAGTATGTAGTGCAGACAATGTGTTCAGCTCTGCATGGGATGCAAACACGCAATCACAGCTGGCTGAATAATGAAAATATGTATCTGCAACTAATTTTTTGATGAAAACTGTTGGCATAATTTGCAACAAATGTTATCCCCAGTGAGTTATTGGTCAATTAAATAAACAACATTGAAGGAGTTAAAAGCACATGGAGGCTGATTCTCCATCACCCTGCACTGTGGGTGTAAAATGCTACCATGCTAATCGGGTAACCTTTTATACTCTCAGTGCATTCACTTTGCATTGGTATAAAGGGTTGTACAAGGCACTGCGCAACAGAGAATCAGGCGCAGAAAGATGCAGAATGCAACTTCAGACCACAATGCCTATAGCATCATTTTTAAAAATAAATTTTCAGGCTCTGAAATATAGTGAAGCTCCTTTTCTTTAGGGCATAGCAATGCCAAAGGGCACAGGTCTAAAATGGCTTCAAAGTGAAGGTATATGTTGAGGTCTCATGAGAAATCTGTGCAGACAGTAACTTATGTGAATTCATGATCGAAGTTACAATGCTATATAATTCATTCAAACCGAGCCTTGCAAAATACTGTACGGCGAGGGGTAGGTTAGAGCTATAATGCTTCATAGAGTTGGGTGGTGTTACTCCTACACATTGATGAAGGGAAAGCAACATGCAGTGAGAGACAAAGGAAAGAACAGAATAGAAAGCTGAAACTGGGGAAGAGGAATATTTATACCAATAATTCTTAGAGTGGTGGTACGGGTCCCACGTGAGCTTGGATTATTTCCTGCAAGAGTTCACATAATACAGGTCATGGTAATATAAGGAGGAGATGATGACTAAAATATTAGAGCAGGAGATTGGGAATAAGAACTACTGGGACCAGCAGCTCAGCTGGGATAAATTGGCATAGCTCTGGCCCCTGGTCTCTATTCCCAGCTCAACAGCCTCTGACTCACTTTAACAAATCCTTTAGGACCTGGCTCTCTGTTCCACTACATCAAATTTTGCCAGCGTAACTCCTTTGAAATCAGTGGAGTCACGCTAAAGTAAAACTGTTTTAGCAGAGTGGAGAACAAGGCTCTTAACCTCCCAGTGTTCATCTAATCTAGGATTGAAAGGGCTGTTGTCAGACTGTCTGAGCTAGCATTTTCTAAGTAATGCCTTGTAAGAACAGGAGCTTGTCTATGCTAGAGCCCTTGCCGGTATCGCCCCCTAGTGAGGTACAGTGCAAACGAACAGAAGCAGTTCTGCCAGCATAGCTACATCCTTCTGCCCCACTCCCGAATGACCTTAACTAAGCCATCCATCAGAATAGTTGCATCAACACCAGAGGGATTGCTGACATGTCAGCTGGAGGTATGTGATTTTTTTTTTTTCATAGCTATGCTGGGAAAAGCTTTGCAGTGAGACTAAGCCTACTGTAGATAAGGCATTGTAGACCTTAGGCTGCGACTGACCAGCTTAGCACATGCTGAAGTACAACTTAGTTTGTCCTTATTAGCTTTAGAAGGTGTTAGTTAGATCAGCCTAGCCAATGTGTTAGGATATAGATATTCAGGCCTGTCTGTAAAGGCCTGTACTTTAAGAATTTAGGTGTATTCTTATCACTTGGCTAGTTAGAGGTATAAAAGAAAGAATCAAAATCACTGTCTGCTGGTGCAAGGTCCTTCTCTTACTGTGACAGTCTGAGGCCCTGTTCTTAGGCTAAGGCCTTTGGCTAAGCAGCAGAGGCAGCCATAAGCTGGGACGCGAACGGTCACATCCTCACATTCCAAACTAGTCCCATTGAAATAAGGTGCTATTGGGCTGTCAGGCACTATCAGGACAGGATTGTATTCCTATCACCTCCAGAGAAAGGGAAGTGCCTAGAAAATGTAAAAGGAAACTTAGTTTGATAGCATCCTGTCTGACAAGAACTCACTTATCAATAGCTGGGATGTGAAATCCTCACTTCTGTATTGTTTTGTCATTATAGTTCCCACTTTGCTATTGTTTGTCTGTATAATCTCTGTCTGGTTCTGTGATTGTTTCTGTCTGCTGTATAATTAATTTTGCTGGGTGTAATCTAATTATTGTGGTGGGATATAATTGGTTAGCTAATCATGTTACAATATGTTAGGATTGGTTAGTTAAATTTCAGTAGAATGATTGGTTAAGGTATAGCTAAGAATATTACTATATAAATTAGGGGCAAATAGGAAGTAAGTTGGGATTCGAAAATAAGGAAAAAGGAACTTGTATTTAAGCTTGCTGGAAGTTCACCCCAATAAACATTGAATTGTTTGCACCTTTGGACCTCGGGTATTGTTGCTTTCTGTTCATACGAGAAGGACCAGGGAAGTGGGAGAGTGAAGGAATAAGCTCTCTAACACAATGCTTTATGATTATAATGATTGTTATTATTTGTATCACTGTAGCATATAGGTATCCCAGCCATGGATCAGTATCCCATTGTGCTTTACAAACACAGAACAAAACATGATCTAACTTCTTGCAATTACATGCTAGTCTGCCCAAGCCCTGAGTGGGTATCAGCCGGCAGTAAAATGGGAATAATTCTTTCCTACCTCCTGGGTTTTTGGTGAGACTTTGCTAATTAATATTTGTTGAGCATTTTGAGATATCTGCATGAAAGGCAGGAGATCAGTGCAATGTAGTATAATCATCAGTAGGAGTGATTACCTTCGTTGCACAAGTACAGTTGTCTGGGGAGAAGGCAGGTGAAGTGAGATATCATAGAATCACAGAATATCAGGGTCAGAAGTGACCTCAGGAGGTCATATAGTCCAACCCCCTGCTCAAAGCAGGACCAATCCCCAACTAAATCATCCCAGCCAGGGCTTTGTCAAGCCTGAACTTAAAAACCTTTAAGGAAAGAGATTCCACCACCTCCCTAGGTAACCCATTCCAGTGCTTCACCACCCTCCGAGTGAAAAGTTCTTCCTAATATCCAACCTAAACCTCCCCACTGCAACTTGAGACCATTGTTCCTTGTTCTGTCATCTGCTACCACTGAGAACAGTCTAGATCCATCCTCTTTGGAACCCCCCCTTCAGGTAGCTGAAAGCAGCTATCAAATCCCCCCCTCATGCTTCTCTTCTGCAGACTAAACAATCCCAGTTCCCTCAGCCTCTCCTCATAAGTCATGTGCTCCAGCTCCCTAATAATTTTTGTTGCCCTCTGCTGGACTCTTTCCAATTTTTCCACATCCTTCTTATAGTGTGGGGCCCAAAACTGAACACAGTACTCCAAATGAGGCCTCACCAATGTCGAATAGAGGGGAATGATCACATCCCTCGATCTGCTGGCAATGCCCCTACTTATACACCCCAAAATGCCATTAGCCTTCTTGGCAACAAGGGCACACTGTTGACCCATATCCAGCTTCTCGTCCAGTGTAACCCCTAGGTCCTTTTCTACAGAACTGCTGCCTAGCCATTTGGTCCCTAGTCTGTAGCAGTGCATGGGATTCTTCCAACCTAAGTGCACGACTCTGCACTTATCCTTGTTGAACCTCATCAAATTTCTTTTGGCCCAATCCTCCAATTTGTCTAGGTCCCTCTGTATCCTATCCCTACCCTCCAGCATTTCTACCACTCCTCCCAGTTTAGTGTCATCTGCAAACTTGCTGAGGGTGCAATCCACGCCATCCTCCAGATCATTAATGAAGATATTTAACAAAACTAGCCCCAGGACCGACTGCTGGGGCACTCCACTTGATACCGGCTGCCAACTAGACATGGAGCCATTAATCACTACCCATTGAGCCCAATGATCTAGCCAGCTTTCTATCCACCTTATAGTCCATTCATCCAGCCCATACTTCTTTAACTTGCTGGCAAGAATACTGTGGGAGACCGTATCAAAAGGTTTGCTAAAGTCAAGGAATAACACATCCACTGCTTTCCCCTCCTCCACAGAGCCAGTTATCTCATCATAGAAGGCAATTAGGTTAGTCAGGCAAGACTTTCCTGATCATTTTCCTCTCCTCGAAGTACTTCAAAATTGATTCCTTGAAGACCTGCTTCATGATTTTTCCAGGGACTGAGGTGAGGTTGACTGGCCTGTAGTTCCCCGGAGCCTTCTCCTTCCCTTTTTTAAAGATGGGCTCTACATTAGCCTTTTTCCAGTCATCCGGGACCTTCCCCGATCGCCATGAGTTTTCAAAGATAATGGACAATGGCTCTGCAATCACATCCACCAACTCCTTTAGCACCCTCGGATGCAGCGCATCTGGCCCCATGGACTTGTGCTCGTCCAGCTTTTCTAAATAGTCCCGAACCACTTCTTTCTCCACAGAGGGCTGGTCACCTCCTTCCCATGCTGTGCTGCCCAGTGCAGTAGTCTGGGAGCTGACCTTGTTCCTGAAGACGGAGGCAAAAAAAGCATTGAGTACATTAGCTTTTTCCACATCCTCTGTCACTAGGTTGCCTCCCTCATTCAGTAAGGGGACCACACTTTCCCTGACCTTCTTCTTGTTGCTAACATACCTGTAGAAACCCTTCTTGTTACTCTTAACATCCCTTGCTAGTTGCAACTCCAATTGTGATTTGGCCTTTCTGATTTCACTCCTGCATGCCTGAGCAATATTTTTATACTCCTCCCTAGTCATTTGTCCAAGCTTCCACTTCTTGTGAGCTTCTTTTTTGCGTTTAAGATCAGGAAGGATTTCACTGTTAAGCCAAGCTGGTCACCTGCCATATTTACTATTCTTTCTACACATCGGGATGGTTTGTTCCTGCAACCTCAATAAGGATTCTTTACAATACAGCCAGCTCTCCTGGACTCCTTTCCCCCTCATGTTATTCTCCCAGAGGATCCTGCCCATCAGTTCCCTGAGGGAGTCAAAGTCTGCTTTTCTGAAGTCCAGGGTCCATATTCTGCTGCTCTCCTTTCTTCCTTTTGTCAGATCCTGAACTCGACCATCTAATGGGTCACTGCCTCCCCGGTTCCCATCCACTTTTGCTTCCCCTACTAATTCTTCCCGGTTTGTGAGCAACACTGAAGAGCTCTGCCCCTAGCTGGTTCCTCCAGCACTTGCACCAGGAAATTGTCCCCTACACTTTCCAAAAACTTCCTGGATTGTCTGTGCACCGCTGTATTGCTCTCCCAGCAGATATTGGGGTGATTAAAGTCCCCCGTGAGAACCAGGGCCTGTGATCTAGTAACTTCTGTTAGTTGCCTGAAAAAAGCCTTGTCCATCTCATCCCCCTGGTCTGGTGGTCCATAGCAGACTCCCACCACAACATCACTCTTCTTGCTCATACTTCTAAACTTAATCCAGAGACTCTCAGACTCTTTTCTGCAGTTTCATACTGGAGCTCTGAGCAGTCATATGATATACTCATCTCCTTCTCATGAGAGTTATTGATGGAATTGGAATTAAGTTGTGTCACCCCTAGCGTGTCATATTTCTATGAGCAAGTCTGAACAGATTGATTTGCAGTTCTCCTTGGCTGTAACTTAATCAACTCGGAGTAGATTTAGTTGGGCATATGGGTTATCATGTGTCTGGCACTTGCTTCCTCCTGTGACATAGTTACTAGAATTTAAATGAGCACCACAACCGGTTCCAATGCACAATTGTTTTGGATCATAAAAGGCTTAATGTATTTTGAGACATTGTTCCTCTTGCCTGGCTCCTCAGAGGGTTCAGAATGCTGGCCAAATGACCAATGGGTGTCCAAGAGTTTCCACCTCCATTTTGTACATGAGTGTGAGTTTCCCGCAATCCACTTTGCAATAAAAGCCCTGTACTTACTGATGCAAATACAGCCATTAGATGTGCAACTGTAACCATCGGTGAGTGTGTGTTACAGGTGCTACTCTGGGTATGTCTAGACTACACGCTCCTTAGAGTACATACGCGATATGGCCCCCTAGCATGGGGATAAATACCAGTGTAGATGGTGAGAAACTGCTTACATGAGTAAAGACATGCCTGCACCCTTAGGGTACATGCCCTACAGAGCTCTCTACATGTCCAGGCAATGCCTCCTTCATCTACGCTGCTATTTTTAGCAGTGTAGCATTCTGCTGTCTCCCTGCTGCCAGAGACTTTCCCTGCTGCAGGAAAGACTCCAGCAGTGGCGAAAGACTCTGTCAGAGGACAAAGGCTCTGGCAAGAGGAATGCAGCAGGTGAAGGTTCTGGCAGTTTCCTCTTGCCGGAGTCATTCCCTGCTGCCTTCCCCATGCCAAAGCCTTTTGCTGAGATGTGTAGCTACACACCACAGTGTGGATGCAACCTGCTTTTCACTGCGTCATGGAGCAACATCTACCCTACATGCTACCACCGGCGGTGTGCAGCATGGACGTAGCCTCTGGGTCCAACCACAGAAGACAGGAATCTATCAAA